TGGCAAAGAGGGACTGGTGTTAGCGTCGGACGCCACTGCTCGGAGGTGATGCGTCGATGGTACGAATCATTTCGGGGGTGGGGGGGTGGAGATTTTTGAGTCAACTTAACCGTTCGACGGACGTGTCTCGCGACTTGGGAATTGACGCGCGGCAGAAACAGAGCCTGTCATTACGCCTGGTCGCCTCTGCGAACTAAGTAACTCACTGTTAAGGGTGTAAACTGAGGAAGTAGCATAAACGCAGTGAATCACTGTGACCTGCCGTACGGTGCACGAGCGGTGCGTTTCCCCGTTAATGCGACCTTTCAGACAGAGTGAAGCCTTTACCCGCTGAGCTGCCTATCCTTACCCAACGCCGCCCAGGCTGGAGGTCGGGTTAACTTGGAAGGTTATGAACTTCAGGCAAATGACAGGATACTACCTCATATTATGGAACGGCCGCTTCCTTCCACATCCCCTCCACTTCATTACTTACTGAGAACTAGTGACACGAATTGCAGGAGCACATGTTACCACGGCCTGGCCGCGCAGCGCTCTCTGCCATTGAGGGATGTGAGGAGGGGGGGGGGCTTACAGGGATCTATCCAAAGGATGAACGTCACGAGAAATGGGAAACAGGACACCGAACTGATCTCTAAGGTTTCTCTCTTTTCAGAAGCAGCAACAGAAACACTGAAACCACTTTCGGCGTTGTCAAGTTCGTTTCATGTAACACAAATGACTTCATTTTGTTCACGGTTGCGACGGGACCAGCTCTACCACTCAGAAACTCTGCATTCTGTCCGTATGGTTCTCACAGTAAACAGCGATTATTTTCCCTAAACAGCATTAACCGGTTGGGCGTTGTTATGGAGACGGAGTGTGTTTCCTCTGAGGTACGGACTTCAAGATACTAAAACTCTGCAATCTGCCCACACAGTCTGTTTATGGGTTCCGTATGGTTCTCACAGTAAACAGCCATTATTTCCCTAAACAGCATTAACCGGTTGGGTGTTGTTATGGAGACGGAGTGTGTTTCCTGTGAGGTACGGACTTCAAGATACTAAAACTCTGCAATCTGCCCACACAGTCTGTTTATGGGTTCCGTATGGTTCTCACAGTAAACAGCCATTATTTCCCTAAACAGCATTAACCGGTTGGGCGTTGTTATGGAGATGCAGTGTGTCTCCTGTGAGGTACGGACTTCAAGATACTAAAACTCTGCATGCTGCCTATACAATGTATTTATGTGTTCCGTGTGGTTCTCACAGTAAACAGCGACTGTTTCCCTAAACAGCATTAACCGGTTTGAGAGAGAGAGAGAGAAGAAGAAGAAGTGGTGGTCGTAGTGAGAGACACTACATTGGGGGGGGGGAGAAACTATATCTCCGATTTTGAAGGTTCCCAGGCAGTGCCCGCTTGTCCTTCTGGTAAAGATAGAGCATATGATCGGATTTTTGTTTGTTTGTTTTTGCTAACGTTGGGAGGGGTATATTAAGGCGAAATTTTGATGTTAACAATGGGAGGGCTGCATGTGAGGCATGCAGTGCAACGTGGAATTGGGTACCAACTCAGCATTTGCTCTAGTACCGAAGAAAACCACGGAAAACCTTGGTCGAGCTGGCCAATAACCGGTTGGACGTTGTTATGGAGACGGAGTGTGTTTCCTGTGAGGTACGGACTTCAAGATACTAAAACTCTGCAGTCTGCCCACACAGTGTATTTGTGTGTTCCGTATGGTTCTCACAATAAACAGCCATTATTTCCCTAAACAGCATTAACCGGTTGGGCTTTGTTATGGAGACGGAGTGTGTTTCGTGTGAGGTACGGACTTCAAGTTACTAAAACTCTGCATTCTGCCCACGCAGTGTACTTATGTGTTCCGTACGGTTCTCACAATAAACAGCGATTATTTCCTTAAACAGCATTAACCGGTTGATGATGGGATGTTTCCTGCGAGGTACGAACCGAAACTTTATATGCTACGTCGCGAGGTGTGGCTTGTTCTTGCGCGACAATAAAGTAAAGGGCCGATACTTGACGTCACAGGAAGTTTAGCCAAGTTTCGGAAATGTAATACAAACTGACATCTCTCATAGTTGTGAGGACTCGATAAGACGGAGCGCGTTTCATGTCGGCTTTGTCTGTCTCTGACAGCGATAATATCTCACGAAAGAATATAGCACTGACGTAGGCGTCTTTAACTCCCATCTCCTCTAAGTTAATTTTGCAAAATTTAGATGCATTTTCTGAGTGACATAAAGCGCTACACACCGAGCAAGTTAGCTTCCGCGGCAATGCCTCAGACTTGTACTCGGGAAGTGTCGGGTTCGAATCTTAGCTGTGACACCAGCTATCTTCCCTTAGGGTTTTCGAGGTTCTTCCTCTTCCCCCCCCCACCCTAAAGTGAAAGACGGGCTACTCCTACAAGATATACCAATTAGTCGCTTCTTAATCATCGCATTATTCGACGCTATATAATCTGAACCACTGTCAGCGTCTCTAGATAAACCGCAAGCAATAGGATCCACATTCAGCTGTATCGTCCGACTATTTTTACAATTAGTCACTTGTACAAATCTTGTTAATAATTTTTTTTCCCCAGAAAACCTATAAATACGAGTGTGTCGGAAGATAAGTTAAATAAACAACAAATTTTACATAGGAAGGAGGGATACCTCAGTCGGCATAGATATTAGACTGTGTTCCATCTCCCACACGGTCAAGAAACTGTCTCTTCTCCACGTCGTCCAGACCGGTTGTGGGGCCGGGTGCTCCATCCCCTCGCGGTACAGCTGACCACCCACCTCCATCTTGCGCTGAGGTGTAGAATGGTGGAGCTACACCTCCACTCCCACATGTATCGCAATGCTGCGCCGGAGCGGTACATCCCGGTATTGGTGAAGCTGCACCACTCGGTTCGGGTGGCAGGGCCATAGCTCAGGCGGGTCAGGTCATGTGGCATTTGTTCTGTTTTCTCCGAGTACTTAGGTTTCCCTTGTCAATTCTTATTCTACCGACTGCTCCACACTCACCATCTATCATCCAGGGCCAATCAGTGACCGGTATACCAAATGGACTCACTCTCATCCCACTCCAAGAAAAATAATATGCCATGTCTTGTCGACGGATTGCTGACGCCCGATCTGCTACTTTCGTCGCGTACTAGATGTCGAACCCATCCCACGGCTCGGGTAGTTACTTATTCCTTCGCTAACTGCAGCGAACGTAAGCGCAGAGGCTGCTAATTAGCGAGAGGCAGGGGTGCTAAGCACATGACAACGACGTTTCGGCTGAATCACATAGAGCGAAAACAAAGTGATAATCACCCTCAAGTGTCCTATACAAGATTACTATGACTGCAGCAGGCGCACAACATAAAATACAAATAACAAACGAGATGTGTGGGAGCGGGCATTTCAGTTGCCATCTTCAGGGCGAATGAACTGGCAACATACATAGTTCTCGCATCAGGCACAAAAGTGTCGTGGCCTTGCAATGACTGCATGAACAGAGAGGCGCACGATGCTAGCCACTAGGGGGCGACTACACTTGTGTGGCAAGTATATCTGTTGCTAGGCAACGACGGCAAAAGAAAACAAGCATGTCTGCACGGAAACAATTGGAAACAGCAACAGAAGAACGGTGTTTTCTGTGTGGTCAGTGCCGAAATGTTGCTATAAAGAGGGCACTTAGTTAAGAGTGGACAGCTGAAGCAATGACTTACCAACCGGCAAGAACGTGAGCACGGAAGCAAAGGAAGACACGGCAGGCTGAACGTTCTAGTGTGTTCTATAGCGATTTGTGAAGTGGAGTAACGATTACCAATCCAAACCCCGTCTATATTCACTCGAAAATCGTGACAAAATTCAGGAATGTCAGAACCGCCCTTAAAATCATTAATCCTGGAGATGACAGCTGAAAAGTCCGTCGAAACGTCGGAAGACCGTGAACACGCGGAGCGGCTCACTAGGAGCGAGAGCAGACACGATTGTTGTTAGTTCAGACATTCTCCATCGTCTGGTGCTCTTCAAGCATAATGCTTCCTTCGTCAGGTTCAGATGGGAAGTCCGTATTCGGTGCTCCCGTTATAAAGCTCTAGTCTCCATCACTCGACATCGACAGAGGTTCCAGGCGTGATGCCTTTTCTGTTGGTGTCACGTATCATCAGCTGGACCGCTATTCTATGAAAACGTATCATCACCTTCACGCTCCAGCTTCTTTAGCCCAGGGAAAAAGCGACCGGTGCACACTGGATATGCCCCAGAGCCGGTACTAACGCTGTAAAGAAGGGAACAATCTCGTGCCTTAACCAGGAATAGAACCCCGATTCCTTGGTTATCCACCTTGTAGTTCAGTGCCAATCATTAAATGCGGACATAGAAACTACGGAATTTCCAGTTACACAACAAAAGAGGAAACCAAACGAATAATACGAGGGAGAGTCAGTAGATAGGCCACAAATGGCTGTAGAACGTAAAACGTGTGATATTCGAACCTGGGGAAAACATTTATTTCTCGACATATCCTCCACGAACACTGGCACACCTGTCCCACCGCTTTAACAGTGCGTCGAAACCCGCAGCACAGAAGTCTTTTGGCTGTTGTCTCAGCCACTCCCGCGCCTGGTCGGGCATCAGCTGCGGCTCTCGGAAGCCATTCAGGCAATTTCTCTGTTCAGCTGTGAGCCGCTCTAAGCGACAAACATTTCTTTATGAATATCATTTGTATTAAGTTCTTTTGCTCATAAAAAATGCAGAGCAGAATGCTGCTTTTCGGTAATACATTCCTCAAGCACGGTTTCCATTTTGACTACTGAAACCAGCCTCTGATCAAGGGCATGCGCGTCTGCTACCCAGACTGTCATGAAGCTGGACTGTGCTGCTACCTAGTGACACACATACAAAACCTGTTACTTCCATTACAATTGTTTTACTTCCATTTTCGACCTATTTGCTGACTCTCCCTAGCATAATGAAAACGAAGAAATGCACAGAACTACATTCAGTACAGCGTGTTACCCCTCATGTAGATGTAAGCTATGCCCTTCATGTTGCGCCTCGTCAGTACCACCAGGTTGAGCACGTTTCCCAGGATGCCGAGGAAGCAGATAGCCGGCATGGCCACTCCGTAGGAGTAGCGGCGCAAGGTCTCGTCCCTCGGATCCTCAGGCTTCTGCAGAACCAGGGACGTCGAGTTGGGTGACACTGAACACGGAGGGGCGTCCTCTTGATCCGGAAGTAGGGACGCCAGGCTGCCCATTTCGGCGGGGATAAACTCAGCCGTGTTAGAACGGACGTGTCATTTGGTGCACACACTCACTTCGCGACTAACCGTATGTCAGCAAGACAGGAACATATGTTCACGGCCATTTCTTCAGAAAGACGAACACAATAAACTGTCACACGCTTCCAAGGCCTTATTTTAGGTTTACTTAACACGACATTTCATCTGCACAGGACTCGCTTGGGTTTGAGAGCAAACGGCAACTGTTGCGCAAGCATCACTAACCGCCTGGCCTCTATAAATGAGAAAGCACAGTGTTCCCTGTGAGGTACGAACCCACACTTAAAATGTTCTTCGGCAGATGAGCTTCGCCTTAGGAGTCGTTAAGAGCCGTTTCTAATACGTGTGTAACTGTAACGTCATCTAGCATCTAGACTACACAGCGTCAAGTTAAGAGTGATTAATGACAGTTTCAAAAGGATTTGGTAGGAAGCGGCAGTCGCCTAATTCACAATCTACCCCCGAATTTGTGAGCAGGATCTGAGGAAAATCATGAAAAGTATCAGTCCGAATAGCGATCTCCCGGGCGAGTTTCGAACCAAGCGCTGTGCAAGAGTGAGACCTGAATTCATCATGGCGGTAACTATAAAGATTAATGTCTCCTGGGGCCTAAAGCAGTATAGTCTCGTAGATCGTTACCGATGTTTCGGAGGGTTTTTCTACCTCCACTGTCAGGATAAAAGAGAGAGTTAGTGGGTTCTCTGGAACATTTATGACAATGAATCAGATTGCACGGCCTCACGTCCCCCAACACAGAACGCTTAACGACATTTCATGTTTATACTCGTAGTTTCCTTGGCAGCCTTCCCGTACGAAACTTCACTTACTCGTAAGATTCAAAGAACCGAATCTGATAGAAGTCGGAACAGGCCATTGGTCCAGTTTTTGAATTGGAGGAGAAAAAATGAGACATTCCTTTACGCTTCGTTGCTCAAAATTTTAACGCATTTTCTTAATTTCATAAACAGCGAGGACCGAGGGTCTGACCCCTTGCAGTGTGGTGGTAGCTTCCGTAAGTTTCGGTGGGAAATACTGTCTCCATCTTCGGGGGGCGAGGAGCAAGCAATCGGCAGGGTCTTCGATGCCCAAATGGAAATGGTAAGTATATGCACCATTCGTTTAAGTATAGAAATATCTGTATTCTGCCCTCACAGTGTATTTAGGTGTTCCGTATGGTTCTCACAATAAACAGCGATTATTTCCCTAAATAGCATTAACCGGTGGGCGTTGTTATGGAGACGGAGTGTGTTCCTGTGAGGTAGGGACTTCAAGATACTAAAACTCTGCATTCTGCCAACACAGTGCATTTATGTGTTCCGCATGGTTCTCACAGTAAACAGCGATTGTTTCCCTAAACAGCATTAACCAGTTGGGCGTTGCTATGGAGACGGAGTGTGTTCCCTGTAAGGTACGGACTGAAGTCATATTACTTACATGAACATCATCCTAATGAGCCCTCTCAATGTTAAATAAAACTTTAATCAATTCCTCCAAAAGCTAAATTTAAAATTTCGATTGAAGGTAGCAAACGCCATGCTCAAATTCCTTTTACTACTCATAGTAAAGTAAATTTCCTATCGCTTTACCTAGTTCACTTCCCAACGCTTTACCTTCTTTACAATATATCTTTACCTGAAAGGCGAGCGGGCACTGCTTGGAAATCTTCAAAGCCGAAAAATCTTGCCCCCCATACAGTACATTGTTTCTCAATACTGTTCGTCTCCAATATATCTCTCTCTCTTCATGCTAAAAAGCGAATAAACGTATCTCTTGTCTCCGGTACTCACGTGTCCGTGTGCACACAATTCCAATTCGGCGCTGAGAGGCTAAGCAAAACCGAGACCTGCAACCTCACTTGTTTTGGCAAAGGGAAAGCGAAATCAGATCGAGTTCCATGTAAATCCACACGAAACTAGCAGAGCCAGCAGAACACAGAAACATGGCAACATAATTAGAACATAACGTATTCATCTGCTCAGACACGCAGCTTCCGGTTACGTCCTGCAGCATAACTAAGCGGTCGTCTGGCATAACCAACCGACGCGATGGCTTACCGTTGGTGGTGCTCTGTTTCAAAGCAGTTCTCTTTCTGTCAGATAAGTTCGTCAAGGACTGAACTAAATTACAACCCTCTAAAACCATATACTTCAGCGTTGTGTCCACTCGGTACCTTCGTGTTCCGTACGGCGACAATTTCCCCTTAGGGTTTGAAATGGAGACGAAGTGCATTTTCTGTGAGGTGGATATGGGATTTTTTTAAAAATCTACACGAATTTCAAATGTCAAAGAGTTCCTGACAAAGAGCTATCTCCATTACTTATATCGCAGCCTTCCAGTGATTTCCAACACACCTCCATCTTGCGAATACCCCGAAGAATGAGGCAGTATGCTCCTTCGAAACGTTCACACACTTCTACAGAACTAGTTTCGTGAGGTGTGGGTGAGACTGAGCCCACTTGGTACTGCGGCCACTACTGGCCTATTGTACCAGCCCCGGATGTTAGATGATCAATGTGGAGCAGTCGGTGAAATGAGAATTGGCAGCGGAAACCGAAGTACTCGGACAAAACCTGCTCCAGTGCCACCTTGTCCACTACAAATCCAACATGATCTGACTTGGGATCGAGCACAAGCCGCCGCGGTGGGAAGCCGGCGACTAACCGCACGGCCTCTACATGACTACATCACATACCAGAAGACAGATCCTCAAATGCAAAAGTCCCTTTGCTACAACGCGACCGGATGTCCTTCAGCGGCTCGTTTCGTGTGAAGTTGCTGTGACGTCGTGCGGTTGTCCGTACCACGGAAGACCCAACCAAAAATAAAAGCGTACACACTTACCGACATGTTTCGTAACGGAGAGCGAAAACTCTAAATTTACGTAATTTCGCGTTACCATAGCAACGACTTGCATGGATGTAAGCGTCACGAACGAGAGAGTGAGCGAAAGCAGCTTACGTTTAAGTGTATCGTGTCTATTCCGCGAACACTGACAATATTTTGAAGTGGTTATGTAGAGTTTAGTATTACTAGCTACTACTAGTAAAGCAGAAGGTGAATGTTATTCGTGGGAGATAGAGTAAAACGTCGGCCTCGACGTATCATTCGATAACATGTAGCATTAGAAAGGAATACGGGAGAAATCAAGGGAATTTAATAGTACGAAAGTTTGTAAAAGGAATGGTGGGACTTCCTGCTGGACTCTTAATGGGTGTTACACTGATTCATTAAAATTATGTAAAGGGTCCGGAAATCTTGCGAAACCCCTTCCCATAGATTTGGGAGTTTTATGAATCGTTTTCCATACCGGCAGACATTTGGACTGTCAGTTTCTCATATATATATGGTGCGATAAATGGTAAAGAATGAACTGAAAAGGATCTGGAAGGAAGCGACAGTGAACTGATCTGAGGAAGTAGCCCCATCACTGTGCTCGCAGAAGAAAGCTCCTGCAGATCCATCCCCACGGACTGTGCAAGCCAGCAACACGCCTTGCCTGCACGGCAAAACAGTCTCGTGGGACTTGAGGTCTCATGGCGATGAGTATGAAGACACTATCTTCTGGGATGCAAAGCCGCTTAATATGATATATATTTACCAACGTTTCGGAAGAATCTGCTGCATCCATCTTCAGGATAGACGGGTTAGCCGCAAGAATAAAGGCCAGTGACATACGGGAGGCAGTACAAAGACCGGTATTGAAGGCTGCGAGATTAAACTGTCTAGTACTGACCGCTATCAGATACCTTTTCTAGCCTGAAGAAGGAGGTGGTGGGCTCCTCCGAAACGATTCTATGTATCAGACTACATGACGCCACATCCAAAAAGGCATCAATCTTCGGAAATAATTTCATATACATAAATCTTTTGTAACGATATAGAAACGTGAAATTAAGTGTGCCAGACAAAGCGACTCTCAACCTTAAACAAATCCATTCACTCCTCACTTCCTCTCCCTCGCTGTTCGCCTACAGCATCAGTAGTGCCTAACTAACCGTTTAAGGAACAGTGGCAATTATATGTACCACCTGCTTTAGCATTAATTAACTGCATTCTGCCCACGGAGTGTGTTTGTGTGTTGCATATGATTCTCACAATAAACAGCGATTATTTTCCTAAACAGCATTAACCGGTTGGGCGTTGCTATGGAGACGGAATGTGTTCCCTCTGAGGTACGGACTTCAAGATACTAAAACTCTGCATTCTGCCCACGCAGTGTATTTATGTGTTCCGTATGGTTCTCACAGTAAACAGCGATTGTTTCCCTAAACAGCATTAACCGGGTGGGCATTGTTATGGAGACGGACTGTGTTTTCTGTGAGGTACGGACTTCAAGATACTAAAACTCTGCATTCTGCCCACGCAGTGTATTTATGTGTTCCGTATGGTTCTCACAGTAAACAGCGATTATTTCCGTAAACAGCTTTAACCGGTTGGGCGTTGTTATGGAGGCGGAGTGTGTTCCCTGTGAGGTATGGCCTATTCCTTTTTATATATTACTACTGACTATGAACGCGACAAATAACACCCGACCTCTCGTCAGAGAGGCCGCCCAACATCGACAAAACCACAACTGTCTAACAGTAACATAAATCTGGTGTTGAGCCCCAGATGGGTGCTTGACACCAGAACTGATTGGCTGACTGAACGTAGGTAGAAACGTGACTTCGACTTTGACTCAGACGTAAAAACCGAAACATATAAACGGTTGGAACGAACAAAAATTAGGTCATGGACCCCGATAGGGCCCAAACAAAGAACTACTGTGCTGGCGAGGGCCGGCACAATCTATTACTATGCTATGCATCAAAAAATGAAGTTTTGCACTTGTTTTAGCATCTCCCCGCCACTGCTTATACAGAACGGAGCGCTAGAGGGGAGTGTAAGTTTCCTTCACCGATCATAAGAAAAATATAATCCAGTTACTGGAAGAGCTACGTTTTCAATGTGAAGACGGGAGATAGAAAAGGCGTGATCCAGAAGTTAAATGAACCCACTTCACTGAGGTGTCCGTACCGCCCGCCCTACATCTCTGCTGTGTTACTGCTGCACATGGCGAACCGACACTGCTTCCGAGTCACTGTTTCACAGACGAGACCACCTTGTTTGCTTACAAGAAGACCCGAGTTCGACATCGAGAATGAGGGCGGACTGGTGTGGCCCGCCGCAGGCAGGGCTTTATATATATCATGGTTGTGTCCGCGACCTGCCGACGGGCGATCGATATGCACTCGGTGGCCCGTGCTCGCAAAGGCACGCACTGTGCCGGACTGCCTGTCAACAGGTGATCGCGGCGAGACCAACCCCCGCGCGCCTGCGCCCTTATTCACAATCGATCGTGACGACACTACACTTATCTTAACAGGCTTCAACACTTCGAAGCACTACAGAACGACTGACACTATTGCTATGCGGCAGTGAAGTGAGAGAGTAGTAAGCAAAAAAATAAAAAGAATAGTAGAAGAGTAGGTGAAAGGAAAAGTCGTTTGATAAATCAGAGGCTGAAGCCGGACACATATAAACAAAAAAACTCAGTGGTTTTAGTCCGCAAGCTAACTATACCATCCGACCGAGCGACCGAGCGACCGCCGCTTGTGGGAGCAGTTAGTGCCAACTTTAGCGGATAGAGGGTGTTATGTGGTCAGCGCAACGAATCCCCACGACCCTTAATTTCGGTTTTCTAGACCGGGGCCGCTATTTCCTTGAAATAGCTCCTCAGTTATCATCACAAGGCTGAGTGGACCCCGTTCCAGAACCACTACTTCTCAGAAAACGTTTGGTAGCGCCGGGAATCGAACCCGGACCTCTGAATCTGTAGCCAGGAACTCTAACCACTAGATCACAAA